TGAGGCACGTGAAATGTTTTCGAAAAATACAGGTAATTGCGGGTAAAATCTTTTACTTTAATTCGTTTTTTTCCTGCCTAGACTGAAAGACTGTAAACATTATGGCTTATTGTTTGCAGATTTTCTGTCGAAGCCCTGCTTGGATGTAATCGCTTGCATTTAAATAGATATCTATTGCAGTCAAGATATATGCTGAAATTCGTAATAGCTTGATGGAAACTAAAAAAAGGTAATACGTTGTTATATGCTTGCTCTATTTGTAGATCAGTTGAATCAGAAGATGTGACCACGAAGGAGACTCTGAAGGATTTTAGAGCTTATATTCTGTAGTTCATTGTGTGTTTTGGAGTGGCAGCATTTATCTTTATTCAAGCTGTTTACAAGGTATACCCTGGTGGAGTTTAAATCTTTAATGCCCCAACCACCCAACCGCCCTATCGCCCCATATGTACACAACTGCGCCAAAGGAATAAAGTTGAATACACGCATTAACTACTAAACGAAACTATTCAATATTTGGTGACGTCATTATTATAGAATCAAAGACTTTAAAAATGAAACGAAACAAATAATTATTTCTCTTTTGCTCTTCTTACTGTATACTTACGTCTTACGGTATTGGTATAGACGAGTAGTCTGCGTTTTATGCATTCAATTTTCTGTATTCCAGAGTTTTGGTCAGACATTTATCAAAGATGACCAGTTCCTAACTGCCGTGGGTTCCAGTGTGGCCTTTACCGCTACAGTATTTCGATTGATTCTTGGACTATCAGCAGATAGATGCGGTATTAAGGTAAGACTTGATCAAATCCGTATGAGTATTTACAGCTGTCATCCTTGCCGATTATGAGAATTATATCCCAGTTGCATCAAGGATTGTTTTGCTTTTATGCACGGACCAATTGTAGTCCTGAATCTCCACCAAACGCCATATTTTTTTTGACCCACTTGAGTCTCGACCAATAGAAAAGACACGGAAAACGAACGTTCGATAGATAGACACGTGACAAGTAAGCTCAAGTACCCGCAGATACACACCAATGGCTCGGCGATCCCGGCTCGAGAGAGCACGTATTCGGTCGAATCTAGGTGTATGCTGATGCAGCACGGAGCACAGGAAGGCTGAATATGTTTAAATGGACAGTCGGGTCATTTTGGGGGTTGATTTGAGTATGTGTAAATAGTTTTCAGTAGTACTAGAAATGTACCAAAATCGCAAACTTCCTTCCAAAATATCTCATACTAGGAATTTTACTCACAATTTCTGTATAGGACTTTTCTATCACTGAGTACCTTAAGTCGTCATTTTAACATTCAAACGCGGGTAATTCTTGACACACATGGGTTTGAAGGCTCGAATGTCGACGGTGAGCTGTGAAAGATTGGCATAGCTAAAAATTAAAAAATTCCAGTTTCTCAGACTAAAATAAGATTGGTCAAAAAGAATGGTGCATCTGTCCCTTTAATTTCTATTATTATTATTATTTTCAGATAACATTTCTATGGACGTATATTCCTTGTATCATCTTGTTGTTTACAATTTATCAAGTTCAGTTTCTACCTAGAATATGGTATTTAATTTGGGTGAACGCCTTGTCCTGTTTACTTTCCAATATATTTATCTTAACGCCCCTGGCAGTCAAGACGATGTTTGGATCTGCATATTTTCTATATTTTCTTCTATTTTTCCTTAATATGGACTGGTTCGGTAAGTATTCTTTTCTGACATACTCGAATACATGGATACTTGTCTATTACGTATAGACAAAATCGGCAGAAATTTCATTAACAAGGAGTTATAAGACAGCTCGAGTGGCTTTAACTTTAAATCTGTAACTTGGGGAACAAATGTGTTATATTTATGTTAATGAAATGAGGTCAAAATGTTGTGGTCTTAGCTTTGCTTCTCATGCAATATAACCGCAGTGTGTATATTATTCTGAATCAAATGTGAAAGCTAATAAAATCCATGAAGTACGCCAGAATATTATCCAATAGTTATCATGGACAGATACAGCCGTTGAAAGATGCAGCATATTCTGTCCAGCACGAACTGAGATAACAACTGCGTACTTTGGAGACAAGCGCGGACATGGAAATCTATATGACATAAAAGCTTGTGTGGGATAAATAAATATATTACTTGGTGGATTGGCTGTACCACTGATAGTCAAGGCTCCGTTGTCCTTTGGTTGGCAAACAGTATTCTACGTTATTGGTGGACTCATATGTGGCAGTGAGTATATTTCTACAGATAATTTATCAGACACGATTAGTTTTTTGGGCGTGCTTCTGCAACATTCAATATATGGGATATATGTTTTGGTTACAGTTACCACAGGGGGACTTTGTTTAATCTCGCTTACCTGTCGGTTCATAGTTTAATATCTTGGCAGAGATGTAAGAGACTGACAGGAGAAGAAGTCTACCATTGCGCAACAAACCAAGGACCATCCTAAACCGTTGCTTAGGACTCTTCATCTTTAAATGCTACCTAAAGTTTTTAACACTTCCTCATTTTGCGCTGCTGTACGTTGCCCTTAGGACTGTTAAAAGACGTAGTTTTATTTCATGTTTTATTTCTAGGTACTGTGCTGACTGTTTTGTTGAAGTTACCAATCTGTCGTATCGCCTGTCTGCATTTCCGAACTTGATCTAACGATCGTAATCAATCAGTATGTATCATATCACTAAGTTCTCTCGATAGAATTGTTGTGTAATCATTTTATGAATTTACGATAATACGTCAAAATATTTTAGAAGAAATACAAAAGTTGTTTTAAGTCTTTCATGTCTGTATATTAGATAAAATAAAACCATTCCGATTTCTTGTCTAACGTCGTGTTTTCCACAACCGAATAATGGCTTCAAGAAAACTATGTCATGCCATGATGATTTGACCATCTCTAATAATATTGTATTGTAATAAAACTAAGGAGTAGTATACCCTAAAATTGTGTCCGTTATTTAATATTGTATTGGTGTTGTTCAGCAGTGAACTGTAACATCAGCTCTGTATAAGTCACTCCATAACAATGATGTAGTCACTCTATAACAATGGTGTAGTCACTCTATAACAATGGTGTAGTCACTCTATAACAATGGTGTAGTCACTCTATAACAATGGTGTAGTCACTCTATAACATTGTTGTATTGGTGCTGTTTGATACTAAATCACTGGATTGTGGTTCAGTAGTGAACTGTAACATCACCACTGTATAAGTGACCAGCGTACCGACAAACTGAAAGGTAAAGGTCAATGTTCATCAGCAGGATACCTTGGACATTTTCTAAAAAGGCAAAGTTGTATAATAACTAGTGGGTATATCAGACATTCCTGGCGTTAATAAACCATTTACCTAGCTTTATAATATAAAGATATTGCGTTCTTCGTGTTGCATTTAGCGAGTAAAGGAGTACCCGAAAGGTATCGTAAACACATTAGGGGATTGTAGTGTCAAAACGGTCGGTAGGCCTCGTCAATTGATTCAAGGGATATTTGTTTTAAAAGAGCATTACCATTAAGATAGCTGAGGTGTCTAAGGTCAATAATTCATACACTCTAAATCCTATCACAGAACCTTTTAAACGATCAATGAACAGCCTCATCTGAAACAAAAAAGAATTGTCTATTTTGTATTCATAGTGAAATGTTAGCAACCATAGGGTCCCAAAGTATAAGACGAAGTTCGTAATAGCTTGACATTGTGAGCATGGAGATTATAATAAATACCAAATACACCACATGAACTATAATTAGATGTCATTGAAAATATTGGAGATTTGTCATGGTTATTTGTGTGTTTTGTAGGGGGCGGTACCAAAACGTATAATATTCTTTCATTCGTGAGTGTGTGTACATAATAACAAAATGAACCGTATATAGAAGCATTTTGATTGGGTGGTTTGAAAATCACGTCACATAACGAATATGTATTACCTGATACGAGATTTACCTGACGAAGTGAAACACGGTAGGGGTATATAATAGTTTCGGATGTTTTAAGAGACGATTCTGGTAGTCAATTGAGGTAAAACTCATGTGGAAGATCTTATTAGATGATACTTACAGATTTAAAGCCCCCATCTGATATCCTCCTGGCATCTATACTTAATAACTTATCTAATGGACTCTGAGCCTGAAATATAAAGGGATTACGTGAGTTAGTTTATTACAAAGAAAGGGAGCGAAATTTATCCTTTAACACAATGATATATCTATATCATATAATGGTATTGAGAATTGCTGCTTGCTAGTAAAGTAGGTGCTATGAGTTCGAAACACTTTTTACTCGAAACACGTTTTACTCTGGTTCGCTTCCATTGAGCAATGCTCGTGGTTGTAATTACTTACTTGTAATGCTATAAGCGCCCCAAATACCATGAATATAACAACTTGATGGAAATAAACAAAAGCCACAGACATCACTAAAAACGTTTCATATCTGGTCAACAGCTTTCTTATCACACCATATAAGGCGAATAATACAATAGGTACACACGTCAAAAATATACTAAATAAATAATGACGTAGCATAGTGTTGACATGTTCTAGAATCTGAACTGCGCTGTTATGTTCTTGTCGAAAAGATTCAATCACATTTTCACTGGCTGGTTCGCCTTCTGCTACGATTTTATCGACGACATTTTGAACATTTTTGGACACTGTTTTAAAAGTGGCATAAACAATGTAAAACATGCCACATGAGGTGTAGGCCATGATGTTTAAATGAGATCCCACAAAAAGCTGGTGAAGGAATAAGAGCGTAATAGAAATGCCGGTGCTCAGAGGAGTGTTAAAATTTAAGGGATAAATCAACCTTTCTAAATCCTTTCGTCCAAACCAATAATACATAGTGCACATCCAGATAGCGTTAGATACACTAGAGGCTACATTAAATCCGGTATTGCATTTAAGTACAATAGTTGTGTGCCTATGAATGGCTATTGTTCCAAATTTTTTCTGATGGTTGTAAAAATCTTTGGATAGTTCTTCAAATTTCTCACAAAATGAGAGAAAGGCTCCGAAAGAGAAATACGAACCCCCAAGATTGAAGGCGAACAAGGCTAATAGCGGTATGATCCGCCCAGCATCTTGCTCTCTGAATAGCACCACGCCGTATTTTGCTGTCATTGCCCATATCAACAACTGGGTTACAGCAAAATAGAAACACCCAACAACTCGAATTATACGGTTACCAATTCCTCTTCCTTTCGAAAATCCACCGAATAAGCACGTGATTTTTCCAAAAGTGATGATAGGTCGAAAAAGCTCTCCAATGTTTACTAATTTTCTTTCCGGCGTCTTGTCACTCATGGTGTTTGTTGCATTCAAATACATAAAACCGGAAGTGGATCCTCCCAATTTTATTTCCAGCTCCTGAGATCGCTTCAAATAATCAAAAAAATCAGATGATTCATACACTAACTATTAAATAAATTGAGACTTTCACCGTTGTGTTATTCCTTACAACATTATTCTATTCCTTGTCTTGAATCCGCTTTAGATCAGCTCAAATAATCAGGAACTGAAGTTGATCTATATTTTGATATTTGTAGTCGAATGATTAAATGTATCGTGTCTCTCATGTGCGAAATGTGTGATCAATACATTAATTGCTTCAGAAGATTACTTTACAAACAGAGAATACTGCAGCAAATCGGTTGTTGAAAGCTTAATAATTCCATACTACAGTATATATCTATTAAGCTGGACCATTGGGTGTAGTTAAAACAGTTTGATTTAGTTAAAGTAAACACAATCCTTGCAATAAATTGAATGAATTGGTTTCACGTATTATAATCACAAATCCATTAGATTTTAACGTTGTTCAATACCTTAAATTAATACAACAATCTAAATCATCATGTTTTATTGAAACAATTACAAGATGCAGAGAATTACAAACAATCAAACTTTCACCGATATAAATCTATTCCATCAACAGAGAATATAATGACTTTGTGAAGGATTTTACTTCAAAAGTAATAATTACATCAATACTTTTCAGTATAAGTATTTCATTTAAACTGATTTATTTTCACTCTGATATCTGTATGACTTCTATAGATAGAGCATTTCCTATTACAACTAATCCTTGTGACCTAGGTCAGTGTTTATATAATTAGAGTATCTCCTATTACAACTAATACTTGTGACCTAGGTCAGTGTTTATATAGTTAGAGTATCTCCTATTACAACAAATACTTGTGACCCCGGTCAGTGTTTATATAGTTAGAGTATCTCCTATTACAACTAATCCTTGTGACCTAGGTCAGTGTTTATATAATTAGAGTATCTCCTATTACAACTAATACTTGTGACCTAGGTCAGTGTTTATATAGTTAGAGTATCTCCTATTACAACTAATACTTGTGACCCAGGTCAGTGTTTATATAGTTAGAGTATCTCCTATTACAACAAATACTTGTGACCCAGGTCAGTGTTTATATAGTTTGAGTATCTCCTATTACAACAAATACTTGTGACCCAGGTCAGTGTTTATATAGTTAGAGTATCTCCTATTACAACTAATCCTTGTGACCTAGGTCAGTGTTTATATAATTAGAGTATCTCCTATTACAACTAATACTTGTGACCTAGGTCAGTGTTTATATAGTTAGAGTATCTCCTATTACAACTAATACTTGTGACCCAGGACAGTGTTTATATAGTTAGAGTATCTCCTATTACAACAAATACTTGTGACCTAGGTCAGTGTTTATATAGATAGAGTATATCCTATTACAACTAATACTTGTGACCCAGGTCAGTGTTTATATAGATAGAGTATCTCCTATTACAACAAATACTTGTGACCCAGATCAGTGTTTATATAGATATAGTATCTCCTATTACAACAAATACTTGTGACCTAGGTCAGTGTTTATATAGTTAGAGTATCTCCCCTAACAACAAATACTTGAGACCTAGGTCAGTGTTTATATAGATAGAGTATCTCCTATTACAACAAATACTTGTGACCCAGGTCAGTGTTTATATAGATAGAGTATGTCCTATTACAACTAATCCTTGTGACCAGGTCAGTGTTTATATAGATAGAGTATGTCCTATTACAACTAATCCTTGTGACCAGGTCAGTGTTTATATAGATAGAGTATCTCCTATTACAACTAATACTTGTGACCTAGGTCAGTGTTTATATAGTTAGAGTATCTCCCCTAACAACTAATACTTGTGACCTAGGTCAGTGCTTCTATAGATAGAGTATCTCCTATTACAACTAATGCTTGTGACCCAGGTCAGTGCTTCTATAGATAGAGTATCTCCTATTACAACTAATACTTGTGACCCAGGTCAGTGTTTATATAGATAGAGTATCTCCTATAACAACTAATACCTGTGACCTCGGTCAGTGCTTCTATAGATAGAGTATCTCCCCTAACAACTAATACTTGTGACCTAGGTCAGTGTTTATATAGTTTGAGTATCTCCTATTACAACTAATACTTGTGACCCAGGTCAGTGTTTATATAGATAGAGTATCTCACCTAACAACTAATACTTGTGACCAGGTCAGTGTTTATATAGTTAGAGTATCTCCTATAACAACTAATACTTGTGACCTAGGTCAGTGTTTCTATAGCAGAGTATAAATATAGAGTTTGTGCTACTGTTATCAGAAAGAATTAATTAGGTCTTTAAGAAATATTTGGCTAAAGTTCCAGCAACAAGTTTTGAATTCTAGTAGGAATTCCATTATGCACTGTGGTATATACATCACTTCTAACTAAGTCCATAACCAAGCTGTATCCTGTAGCATCTGTAGTTTGGATCTTCAACTGAACTGTATTATCACCACAGCGTACGTTACCAGTGTACCCGAAAGCTAAAATTAGAGGAAAAACTATCCAGACATGAACGTGAATTACTTCCCTTCTCTTAATAAAATTACTATAAATTATCTAAAAGAATTCTGTTTGTTTAATAAGTCCGGAAGTTTTCCATCGTAGTTAAACAATAGTCGCGTTGATCCCAAGTTGGTTTTTACTCTGACCAATCGAAAGCAAAATATGGCGTGAAAATAGCTGTTTGGTGCAGCTGGTCAGTTGAGATTAAAAACCCCCGCAACCTCCTGTATGTTTTTAAAGGGACAGATCAACCTTTTCGGGTGTTGATTTGAGTCTTGAATGTATGTAAATAGTCTTCAGAAGTACTAGAAATTCCTTCACAAATATCTCAAACTAGGAATATCTTTACCTATTTCTATAGATGTCTTTTCTATATGGCAGTGTCTCAGGAAAAGACAACTCGTATTTTTAACTTTCCAACGCAGATAATTCTGGACGCACGTGGATTTGAAGTCTCAAATTTCGACGGCGAGCTGTGCATACTAATACCGATTGACTAAGCTATAAAGATTCCCGTTTTTGAGACTAAGATATACATAGTAATATATCAGAATGTTTACCATGAGAATAGCTGTAACATCTAGGGTGAACATTTCATATACTGTAAATCCTATTTTAGATGCTGTTAATCGACTGATAAATAACGATACCTACAAAATAGTGCAACATATTGTTAGCCACCGACATGGTATTTTATATCCATCTTATTTTACTCACTGGTGGAGAGGAGGGGATGACCTGGCTGTGGCCCTCCGAATTCAATTCACATATTATCATTTAACATAAATGGAATATAAATCACTAACACTGATAATATTTGATTGCGCCGGCACGCTTCAACTCATTATTAAATTTGGAGATTCCAAACAACTAATATTGATTGAGTGGTATTATTATTATTATTGGTATGTTTCCAAATTGTCAGCATAATTTATGAATCACTCTGCCAATTGTCGTCCTTCTTGTTGCGTAGTAACATTTATGAATAATTGCCCTTAAATTCAAAAATAGACAACATATTATGTTGAGATGGTATTTGTTGATAAAGATAAGATGCGCTCAATTGGCAGTTTCTTCTAGGTGGGCATATATTTTGGGAAACCCTTCGATTCTTACTGACCAATTGATATCTGGTATCTGGTATCTGGATACATACCGATCTATATCCCTTCTCAGAGACTGTTTCAACATCTATGTCCACCAAATACGACAGTGGTTCATGTGCCTGGAATTGTGATTTAAGTAGAACAGAGGATGATTATCTATTCATGCATGTAAATATAAACAGTACGTAAAATAGGGTCAAAGTTTCTATGTTGAATATATGAATATATATATATCTATTCTCAAGTTACAATATATAAATAAATGATAAGAAAACAAGCGGGGAATTGCTGTTAACGAGCTAGTTGTCCATGTTAAGTTATTTTCCAGATAGTCACCCCTCGCAGAACAAGACTATATTTGACTTGTGGACCAGCTTTACTTTTCATTCTAAATACTATGGGAAATATTTCGTTTAAACAAATGAAATCAAATGAATGGAGTTTTACGTCCGACCTTTCTACACCATGCGGGCCAATGGAGACGGGCAATGCCATTCAGGGTGCAATTAGGGAAATTTTGCCAGGACAGTGGCATTGACCTCCTTTTTTAATTTCCAACTGTCGAGGTATCTTTAAAGTACACAGCCTGTAGTCCCGTCCGAACGACTAGATGCTTTTTGCAGCTCCTTTCATTTGTATCAATGACAGGTGGTGTGATAAACGAGATAAGACGTACACGGACTAACCTTTAAGGTAATGAAGGAGCCAACAACCAGGGTAAAAGCCGGAACAAATAAATAACTCAAAGCAATGGTTGCTATTAAATTCAATTCGTACCACGAGAGAACACCTCTTATAGTTCCATATAATACAAAGCACATGATAGGTATACAGGCAGTGAATATAGCGAAAAGAAGATGTGCTACCAAAGAATTGGTAAGACCCACTATATTTATAAGGCTTAAGTGTCTCTGTCGTAACGTCTCCATAACATTCCCAAAATCTGGGTCAACTGTTTTCGTTTGCACGTGCTTTTTCATTACATCCTTTAGGTTCGTAGCAAGGACTGTAAACTCTATCAGAATAACGATGAACGTATAATAAGCAATGGACGATATGGCATGCCAATGACACATTTGGTACCCTTGATGTAACAGTAGTAAGGTAAAGGCGACAACTGTGTTTGTCCAGTTATCAAAATTAAACGGGAACAGAACATTTTCCAATTCATGTTTACCGGTGTATAATAAATAAGTGTACCAAGCCGAATATAGAGAACTTAAGCACAACATTACAATAATTGCCACTTTTACCATTTTCTTAGAGATTGATGCGAACTTCAAAACTCCAAATTTCCTTTGGTGATCGTCAAAGGCTGCTACAAACCTCTCATAATTTTTGTTAAAGGTTAACTGAGCAGCTAATGAAATAAAAGTAATTCCCCCACTATTCACGGATATTGCAAACAGTGGTAAAAGCCGACCGAGCTTCTGTTCTTTAAAAACTACTAAAACGTATTTAGCCGTCATGGCCATGAATAGAATCTGTATCACGACAATATACACTATCTGTAACGAATTAACCAGTGCCTTCTTACAACTTTTGACCTCATTTCTTTCCCTGTACATTCCAATATATTTCATAAAGATGATCGCTGGTTTCAGCGTTGCTCTAGTGTCAACGATATCAATTTTAGGCATTGTGGAATCATTTATGCGATTGGACATGTTGGATACCTGATACGTTTACTGCCGTTAGTTACCGATTTGGTTCCAGTCAGTATCCAATCACGAAGAAATCGTCAACAACGACATAAGCTGTTAGGTGTTATAGAAAACACCTGTTATTGTTACTGCTATTGTTACGGTCCGATTTGGATATTCCGCTTGACAGTTCTTATTGAAGTTCTTCCCCACAAACACTGATGGACCTTGCTAACACCACAAACCTCGTCTCTGGATGTTCTTCCACGCAGACACTGATGGACCGTTGCTTATACCACACACCTTGACTCGGGGTGTTTTTCCACACAGACACTGATGGACCGTTGCTAATACCACAAACCTCGTCTTGGGATGTTTTTCCACACAGACACTGATGGACCGTTGCATATACCACAAACCTCGTCTTGGGATGTTTTTCCACACAGACACTGATGGACCGTTGCTGATACCACACACCTTGACTCGGGGTGTTTTTCCACACAGACACTGATGGACCGTTGCAAATACCACAAACCTCGTCTTGGGATGTTCTTCCACACAGACACTGATGGACCGTTGCTAATACCACAAACCTCGTCTTGGGATGTTTTTCCACACAGACACTGATGGACCGTTGCTAATACCACAAACCTCGTCGTGGGATGTTCTTCCACACAGAAACTGATGGACCGTTGCTAATACCACAAACCTCGTCTTGGGGTGTTCTTCCACACAGACACTGATGGACCGTTGCTAATACCACAAACCTCGTCTTGGGGTGTTCTTCCACACAGACACTGATGGACCGTTGCTAATACCACAAACCTCGTCTTGGGATGTTCTTCCACACAGACACTGATGGACCGTTGCTAATACCACAAACCTCGTCTTGGGGTGTTCTTCCACACAGACACTGATGGACCGTTGCTAATACCACAAACCTCGTCTTGGGGTGTTCTTCCACACAGACACTGATGGACCTAAAGAATCCAAAGAGGCACTGATTATTGCTTCCAGTGACAAAAACTCGGAGAAAAAGTAGACTAGCACACAACTCCGTGTATATATTTAAACAAAAACGACCGGTACTAAACTAATTTTGTTTTGTATGGACTAGTAATGGTTGCAACTTTTCTATTTATCATCAAACACGAGGTTGATTAATTGTATTCTAATCAGACATTATACAATGTTGACATTCTACTTAGGTATAGATGTACAGGAATTATAAACTCCAATTATCAATCAATAACATGTTTTAAACCATCATAGTTCGTTTATCCAATGTTGTTTATCGTATTAATGGTGCACCGAATTCGATGAAGCAGTGTGATCCATCATAGAATCGAAATTGGAATTTCCGTAGATAAAATCTATCAAAAGAAAAATCATCCGTCAATCAAACCAATAGTCAATGATTATACCCTTCTATATCTTATGGAGTTAGAGACACTGACTAAACTAGTGATATCAGTAGATTTATCATATTTATTTCATTGGTTCATTATTTCACAATAGGTAGTAGGTTAATTGATCATATATTAAATTTACCACTGTAATGGTAGCGAGTAATTTAATCATATCTAATTCTCTGAGGAAATAAAAGAAAATAATAGATCGAACAATCAACTATTGAGATTTTATTTGTAGTCTGAATCATTCAACTTAACAATTTTTTTCATTCACAATTCTGAATTATCTCCACTTACTACAACAAATAAGCTATTCTGAAACGACCCCGCCTTTATTCTTGTATGTCGTCTGCAAGCAACGAACCGGAAACGAGTCAACCCGCGTGGTCTTTTTGTTTCGCCGATTGAGTGATCAAATTATATTATAATGTAGTTTAAGGAAGGTTATAAAATATAGAACTCGTTCTAATCTAAAAGGTAAGAAAAATGTACTCTTTATGATATTGAAGCGTTGTCATATTGACGAACGTTAAGCTTTAGATGTATATTACCTATTATATTACCATATAGTTCTTTGTCTTGAATAACGTGTTTCATACTCTGTAACAGATTCTGTCATTCTATAGTGTATAAGTACGGTACCGTGTAAACCCATTCCTGTCATATATTATAGATATAGGCAGTAGCAAACAGTGGCAGAGCCAGGTTTACGTCCGAGGAGGAGGGGGGAGTGGGGGCGAAATTGAGTATGTTCGCCTATGATAACTGCTGAGCCTTGGCAGAACCTAGATAGAGAGATGCACTCAAGGATGTCTCAGTATACCATGGGTAGAAAAGTAGCTTTTTTACCCCAATATTTTATTTGATTATACAAATACAGACACATGCCGAGGCTAAAATGAATAAATAGCCAATCTTATATACTTAATATGTTGTTCTTTTAAGAAAATGACTATTAATCATAATAGGCACCATACGAGACTGTCCTCTTATTTGCTAATACTGGCCAGACTAGCCTCACTCAAGTTAGTGTTTTAGAGAAATCTGAAATTGACCTTCAAGTACATAATTCTGAAAAGCGTCTGGAATTCGAACGAAGTTGTAGAAGTAGAAAGTATCTGAAGGAGTTTCGTCTGTTTTTCAAGTGTTGTAGTTTTACCAGATGTCTTGTTAACCACGATGTGACAATTTTATCTTTCTATTTGTAATAAGATTGACTTCAAGGCCAACATGTATCTCAAGTTTTAAGTGTTGTTTTTGTTTTTGTTATTTTACATTTGTTGACTCTTAGAGCTTCGGGTCGCACAGTGCGTTGAACGCTAACTGAGGGATCTGCGACAGGTGAAGGAGGTACAGGTGGTTTCTCTCTTTTAGAGGTTGGGAACGGTAAGGCCCCATGAGAGTTACGAAGCTGCAGTTTGTGCACTAAGGTGTCGTTTTGTTACTGTATCTTGTCTACAGAAATGTTATACTGCTCACTTATTTATTTACTATCTGAATACTATATGACACATAAAGAAGTTGAATAGATTTTATTAAATCAATGTTTTATTTGGACTGAAGTCACAAATGAAGTTCGATTACACAGTGGCGCTCGAGTTATGATGAATATTATGTTCAAGAACAGCTTTGAGACTGGGTTTTGTTAACTCTGTATCCTTTTTATAGCTATCACGAAGTCAATTCTGCACTTTTCGCAGAGTTTACATGCCTAGTAACTTTACAACGGTACCGTATTACATGCCTGATAACTTTAAAACAGTATTTCTGTTTTCTTTAAAGAGTAATTCAATATTAGTACCAGATGTTCGCCAACATTTAAACTATTTTTAGTTGTTAGTTTCGACAGATGTCTCTATAACAAACCTGTGACAATTGACCTTGTATGTTTAATTTAAGGTTTACACCAACTCTTTGAGATCAACTGTTTTTAGTTTTTGTTTTGTTTTGTTATTATTTACGACCAGTGAGTTATGTTTTACGTTTCGATTAACTCCACCTTTTTGAGAAGAAACTGATTTTATATGCCAGTAGTTTGTTTATCTCTATAAGGGTTTTGATTCATGATCTTATCTCCTGCTTCCAAGTGTTTCAGATATACAACTCGTCAAGACATTGGATGATGACTAACATTTGTCAACATTATGAGTTTGGCAATAATCGTAGCAGGCTGACGATTTGGGTTTGGAAACAATGTTTGACTTTCAGAATTGATCTATCTGAAAAGAACTCACAGGAGCATCTGTTACATCTTGTCAATTTTGTAAGATCTTTAGTTCTGCAAATTTTTCATAATATCCAGTCTTTTACAGAAGAAACAATTAGACATCCAAAAAATTGCCTTTAAGATCGAATACTTTGATAATTAGGCTATATTTCGTTTGACCATCGTTTTTAAACCATTCATCACGATTCTTGATATTGTATCCACAACACGTGACTACGAACTGTAGTTAGCTAAAAGAAAAGAAATAGAAAGATTTATAATATGTATCTAATTTCATGGGATATTATTTCATTGTCATGTATCACGGTATAATATAAATCAGATAAATCTGGTAGTTCAGCGGGCTTCTGGTTTCTCATCAATCACAGGGTTCCATATCGTCGACCTACCACAGCCGGTTCTTTACATGTTCTTGGATGTATTACGCACACCATTGTTGGTGAGGAGGTCGTAGAGGTATTTTGACTATTGCGTCCTTGACCAAGTTTCATGCATTGAGGGGTTTGTGGAATTTCGAAATAGGGTGTCCAGAATCTATGCCATTGTTAATAGGCAGGGTACGTTTCAGTGTACTTTATGGCATTTCAAGATCAGTATATAGACAATCCAACGAAAACGGATGGATCCTAATGCTTGTCCAGTTTATTGCAGATTTCCCTATGGTTTCGTCCTCTTAGCGCAAGGGATTGATACAAGTGAAACGTTGGCATTATATGCAGGACTGATACAAAAACGGACAGATCTGACTCTTCATCCATTCAATGAAGATTTCTGGGATTGTCACATGGTTTCCTCTTGCTAGTGTTTAATTTGGGCTTTTTTGTTTTCTGGTACCAGTCTCATGTTGAAAATACTCGTACAGGACAACAATCATTTAAATAATAACAGGAATACGGCAGCACACTATCTTCACCTTCGATATTATCTTGCTAGGCTTGAAAGCTGATTGACACAGGTTTATTACTCTTACACCTTTCTATCTCATCTGTTATCATTGGCCATACAGGCTGTGGTTTTGAGACGGAAAACATCATTACATGTCTCAGTCTAAGACAATCTGTGAATATCTTCTCAGCTTCACGAGGTTAAGCCAGTTGTCAATATCTTAGGGAGACACCATCTGGTAACTAGCCGTGAATATTCTCCTGTGTTCTGATCTATCTGTTATTAGTCGGCTTATTGCCATCGAAATACAATACCCGATCAATCAGTCTAACAGACGGATTCCTGTGTAGAATCTCGAAGGTTTTTTTGTCTGTCTGAAAGCATAGGTTACCATGAGGACAGCTAACAATAGAAAGATGCGGAGCTCTACCCATTTTATATGAATTTTTTCCCCGCAAACGTTTTGCCACGAAATCGACTCTCAGTTAATGTTACCTATTGACACTATTCGGCTTGTAAAAATTGGTATAGGGGTTGTCTCCCTTGAAGTTAATACAGATGTTTCAATTTGATGGGTGTCATGTCTGAAGTATAAGATCGTATAGGGGCAAGTCCACTGGGCCGACTATGCTCACTCTCCCTTTCCTAGAATACCTGTTGATTAAACTTCCATCTTGAGCGATCCAACATAGATACTTGACTTGACATCTTTTCTGATCTAAATATTGTCAGTTTGTGGAGATTTGAATTGATAAGGACTGCCACCCGACACGCCACAATTGATTCTAGAACATTACATATTGGACGACCAACAAGAATGTATCCGGTTGTATACAAGGTATCGAATATCTAGCCTAAATGATCGATATGGTTTAATGCAGGATAAAACATTAATCCTGTGTCGATGTCCTCGTTATGTTATTCTCATCAGAAACAATGACATTATTAAACAATATACGAAATCAATATAGATTATAATATAGTTTTTTATGTCTATATTGCATATACTGGGTCAATTTGGTCCAATAAATTTTAGGCCATGGTGACATAGTGACATATCAAGCCATACCAAAAATATATAGGTACTACCCTAGATCTTCTGATGAATAAAATATTGGCTTCATGTATCGGTCCCGACATGTAACTTGGTTGGTACATGACAAGTTAACGTTCGCTTCAAGCGAATGCTGATATCGCAAACTTGGTAATTGTTGGTGGTCGGATTAATGTAACAAAAAGGATTGGCTAAAATACAAATACTATGTAGTTGAAATTCTGTTCTAATTAACAGGCGATTTTAAACAATTTAATTGTCAGTATTCTGTTAGTAAAGGTGTATTATATTAAAAGTTGTTAATCTTTTGAGCATATGGTTACAATAGTTGAAAGGGATTATAAAAAGGTTTTGTAAAATTTGTATGTGTATCTGGGTTACTCATATCATCAATTTACACCACTTCAATCTTGAGTCTTGAGGTATGTGGTTCCTGCAATTCCAGTCCCTGTAATGTATGTATGAACACGTTGCATGTTTCGATGCAAACTTCGTATAAGACTCGCCTCTGTATTATAATAGAGCTAAATGCTAAACACTAAATTTGAAAAAATGATGTTAGGTAAGTTTGGAAATTTCGGAAAATTATGGAAAATGTGAAATATGAGTTGTTTCTTAGAATGACAACAGAACAATTCTCATTCTCAATTTTCAGCTGTCGATTGACATGTATAACTTTTACAGGACTTCTATTTGTTTCTGCCAAGGATTATTGGATAGAACTATGCACTCCTAGACTCCTATGCAAACGCCTCACACAGACAACATACTAACTATTGGAAAACGCCAACATTGCCTGTGACGTTCCTTCACACCCTGTATGATCTAGGTCGCGTATACCCAAATCGATCTTAGCGGGACAAATACGCTACTTTTTGACCAATCGTACCAGTCTCAGAAACGGATTTTTTTTAGCTAAGCCAATCAGTAATAGTGTTTACAATTTGCCGTCGAAATGAGCCTTTAAATTATCCTCGTTTGAATGTTAGAATGACGAGTCGTCATTTTAAAATACTCTGTGATATATAGAAAAAGACAAATATGGAAATAGTGAGTAAAATTCCTAGTTTGAAGTATTTTTGAAGGAATTTTGCGATTTTCTTACATTTCTAGTACTTTGAAGACTATTTACATATATTTAATACTAAAATCAACTCCTTAACTTCTAACACTGTTCCTTGGATATCCTTCAGCTTGAAGATTGAATTCGAAGACAGGTTAGCTATTTCACTCATTTCAAATCAAATTTTTGGCGTACCTAGATTTCGGTTTCGACAGGTTTCTCTGTTTCTCCATGTGATAATGTTCGATGTAACATGCGTTGATAGTTATTATGACATTCTGTGATATGCAATCAGTTTGAGATGCATCTTCATATACCAAAAATATACAACAGAAAGGTCAAACACTATACTTATGTACATGGTAACGTGGCATTTGATTTTAGAAATACCACAATATGTGCACTAGAAAGTGATATCATTGTATTGTCATAGTGTTACCGGTATTTGATCAAGAGCCAACATTCTATCAATATTCCTGATAAACATATGTATTTAATAATATAAAATTATGTCTCTTATTAGGTAGAAATTAGCTTAATTAATTATAGATTAATACATATAGGTATGATTGTCTTGTTTACTCTTCCGCATCATCAATTGGCAATCTGAGATTCGACTTATCCTCTCAACTCAGGTTCCGTGTCTAAATTTCCAACTATACATTTATATTGGTATTTCCAGGTCGCCCAGATGTACCGTTGTCTTTTTCGTATGTACAAAACAACCAAAGCTGTGCGTTTGCAGTTCCTTTTGTTTTTTATTTTTGTTGTATGATAACCCATTTTGATTAAATGTTGATTTTCTGCTTTTGAATTTCAATTTATAAACGTCAAACCTACGTGAAATAACCACGTTGAAAGAGTTAATAATATAACACACTTCATCAGTGGAGTATATGAGGAATGATTGACAGTATAGAAACATAGATTATGTTATTTAACCCTTTGACTGGCAGATTTTTATTAACCCTTGACCACAAAACAGCGAAAATAATAACTGTAATAATGGTTTTCTCTTATCCGTCTTTTCAGATTGTACAGTCGATGGTGTTGATTGAGGATGATGGTATGGTGCAAGCAGATGAATCAGAATGCGATGTGATTCTCGTTCGGGATGTGACAAGCGTTTGAATTGGAGTGATCTGGTAATGATTGTGTAAAATGATGGGAACGTGTACACCGTAAACGTTGAGCCAGAACGTAACACATGGAGTAACGAGCAACTTCGTTATCCCAACGGTTGGTTTACTTGCCTGCTTATAAATTTGTCTCCTTGGGCGATGTTTATACGTGTATATCGGTTTTGCTCAGATACGTTTTGTGTGTTGGTGATGCAACGAATCTTATTTGTTAGATTATTCGCTACATTTTTCCACTGTGTAACGGTCTTATAAACATAGGTTACAAATCACGACGAGAAAAATATTTAAAGTTTCATAACGAAGTGTACATTTCATTTTTCAGAGAATCTGGTACTGCTTTGGAAAAAAAAGTTTCTCTGATCATAGACGACCATTATTTGAATATTTGACACTATTTTTGATCAAGTAGTGTCAGACTAACCTTCGTTACGTGTGTTGTGTATGTGTTCTTATATATATAATGTACAATGTATAAGGACAAAACAAACCATTAAATGTATAACTAAGTATATATTTTCTTATTTGGATACTGACCTGCAAGTGACATCTTCAGTGGATTTGAAGATTTGCTTTCGTAATGTCTTGCATGATTGATGTTTGAGGATCGGTATTAGTGACGTGTGTGGTCAAACGTTACGATGACCTCAAATACCACCGAGACTAGTGCTATATACAATCATCTCCATAATAATGTTCTCGAAACCACGGAATCACTCGATAGAACCGGAAGTGCCGTGAAACCAACAAACCCTCTGGACTCCACCAAGGTCACAGTCGAGTTAGAAGCAACGAATGTCTCAACGAACCTGGCCATACTTCCGGTTTTAGCTATTTTGATATTTTTAACGTGTGTTTGTTTAAAGTGTTGTAGCTGGTTTCGGGACAGTGTTAAAGATCGTGATGAAGGAGATGTTGAGAATTCGGGATTTATTATCCTTAACGAAGGAGACAACGAATACAAGGATGTGGAATTTCGTTCAGATACAAACTCCTGTTACGACACCGTTTCCTCTTATACGTCGTTCATCAAACGTAATAATCAGTACGATACGGTTACGTCTATCCGTTCGTTACAGCCATCCAGACAATGGGACGCGTACAATACCTATAATTCTTACCGATCATTTCTGCTGCAGCGATTAGACGGATCAAAATATAACACTGTCAATTCTGTCCGATCTTTGTTACGGAATGCGACGGAAATGAAAGACGCCGAGGTCCAAGTTGAACTCGTAGACCCAGTGCGACGAATAGCATTATCACATGCCAGTGCACGCCGCCACAATTCTATCGACGCAATTCCGTTGCACAACCGCAGTTCATCGGAATCTGGTTATACGGATGAGATCAAACAGCATCGTGATCTGAAACGTGGCCATCGACATCGTGTGTCATTTGTAGACAGTAAGGGTCCGAAAAGAGTTGTTGATGGTCGATCGTTGTCAATGGACGCTTCACATTTACCGCTGACTGATGATAATGTTCACAAAAATTCCCTTTCGTTGAAACATCTGTGGGGTATTCGAGATCAACCACGATTGAATCCCGCAAACAGATATTCCCCACCAAGGAGTCTTCCCAAAAGACCTTCACCTCCACAAGTCAGACACCCGCAGCTGGTTGACGCAGCTACGTCTCCGACCATGGATCATACTACTCCCAGTCGGAAACATAGATTTAAGGTTACCAAGGCTGATGAATCTCAACTTCCAACAAAGGTACAAAAGCAAAATCAAAAACACTGTGCATCGAAATCAGACGATCCAAATAACAAAATGTTAAACTCAGCAACGTCTACAAGTGAACATTGTGACACTAATGCACTTGCGTCTTGTGAACAGCCATCGCTTTTGCGTAGCTGTCATCGACACTCTACGAAAATCAACGAACATACGAAACATATCAAAACGAACATCTGTGAAAAATCCAATGGTGATAAACCTGCGAACCAACTTCACATCAGTTGTGACTCTGACGCACACGAACAGTTCAGACGGGAACATAACAGCTGTAGACCAGCTCAGACTTTTCATTCCAACGAATCCAACGACCAGGCATACTTATCTTACGAAACGCCAGCGGCATCATTCGTAAATGCCAATGAATGCCACAATGCTAACATAGATTTCGATTCAAACATCAAATTGGCGACTATCAATGATGTTTCTAAAGACACAGATGGTTATCCGGAAATATGCTCACCGAGACGCAATCAAATTGACGACGAGGAGCAGGACGTGGGGTTCTGCAGTGACGATACAGATAGTGGCGTATGTAATGAACTAACTGCATTCCTTAATGAAGAAGACACTCGGCTTTAATTTCTTGTTTGTCCTTTAGGCCGTACTCCTCTGTCGGTCTGCCCCATATTTTGATGGAATGTATACATCAAAGTATTTGTTTTCTCTGTCGATAGTGATCTTATGGAGATGAAAATATGACTCTTGTTGAGCACAGAAGGCGTTTATGAATCTTTCTCTCTACAGAAAGGATATACTATCTATAGTAGCTATTCTCGTTAATACCTACCTAAATGTTAATAACAACCTAAACATGTACGATTTTCGTAATTTGTTTATTAAATTGTAGCCTAAACCTGATTTGTCATTTTGAAGGGTATTGCAGATTGTTGGATTTTAACGCTATCAGCTCGGATAACAAATATTAGACGGCTATATACATTTGTATGCTTTATATATGTAAGACACTTGCCTTAATCAAAACTGTCTCATTTAATTGATGCATGTATTTTTTCTTTAAACGGTAGTTCAAAACGTTCAATATCTTTGATTAAACGTAAAAAAATTATCATGCTCAGCTTAGTTTATACTCAAATTCATAAATTTGCGAAAGTAAAAGTAACATTTAATATTAATGTGATAATGCCATTGTGCGCTAAGGAATTAATATATTTTTTTCTTTGATACAATCAGCTATGCACCTGTAATAGCTGCTTCAAATTTAAGTAAAATCTCCGCTGAGTATGAAAAGAGTTACGTGACCCTGAGCCCAGAGACCTGACAGCAGCAACAGGGTTGATAGTATAATTCTTAATCAACACACCTGCTAGTACATCAGATATCTATGGAGTTATCTACCATAAATTCATGTATCTCATGAAAGTTTGAATTCTGGTTAAAAGAAACTCAAGACAGAATATTTTCGATACATCGACCCCGACTTAATCTAACTTCCCATTTCAAGTGATGCAATGACTGTCTATGATATCTATGAACATCCAATGGTTTTTATCACTCCCTTTCTTGATTAAAGCCCCCTTTGCTCTCCACGGGTACTAGACAATTCGTCCCGGACACTACTAATGACTACTTAGTGTCCCTTTTCCAACCCGAACTGACGCAGAAGGTTACTAACTGGGTCTGAGCCTTGTTGAATATATATCATAGGTTTATTATAATAAAAATATTTAACAAATCTTGAATACCAAGAATATATTTTCTAGATATAATTATTAACCAACAACCGTCGTCATTTAAACAATTTATATTGGACCCAAATGATCCAGTTTCAGTCAACACCATATATTAACTTTAGAAGTCCCCAGCAAGAACACATCTTCACAAAAGATAAATATGCCATATTATTCAGAAGAAGTTCAAAACAAAATCAGTGTAACACTGGATCCTTGCAAAGAAAGTAGGTTTCCAACACATAAACATTAAATATGGAATCGATGAGATTTGGGAAATCATTGAGCACCTTTGAGCAGTTTCTTTCCGTCCCCAAAACAACCTTGGACCAACAACTGAATGTTGTCACTCAACCCGTTAAATTAATTGCACTATGGATAGATATTAGATTAATTTCAAACTAACTACCAGTAACGGCACCCATACCGAGCGTCCGTAACGCTGAGCCCCTCGCCGGGTATTGCTGTTCTCTGTTATACATTCCTTTAGCGAACTTGTTTGACACTCGCACTGGGTCCCTTGAAGAGTGTAACCAAATATACGGCTTCTCCTCAGCCTTGGGCGTCGTTGTTTCGATACTTTGACCATCTCTAAGAGCTTGTATTCGCTTCAATGCCCTCAACAATGTTCCTCTATCAATGGTAAGTTTTGGGGCTGTTTCTGTTGGTCTCTGACTAGCAGGGGATTCCAGAAGACCAAAATTCTGGTAGTTAGATAATGGTTTGGGTTGAAACGGTAAGTCTAGTTTGGGCTTGGATTGTGTGATAACGCTTCCTGGGTAGTTTGCTTTACTGCTGTAAGCAGTTTCTCCATATGGCTGGCTTGCTTGGGGTCTATTCCGCGGTAACAACCAAGATTGGGATGAACTACTCTGATACGAGGATGCTGGTCTGCGTTTGGGAATCGGGATATATTGTGAATTGGTGTACGATCCTGAATAAGATCCTCGATTCATAAATGGGTTTGTAGATTGATGGTGTGAGGCCGATTGTCCACTTCGTGAAGTATGACCAGGAATAATGCTTCCGTGGTTTTGATTTTGATTCGATGATCCAGAAGAGTATGACTGGGAACTTATAGAATGTGGGTCTGTATTCCGCGATGGCATTATGTTCTGAAATCCATAATACGTAGAGGATTGTCCAGGCTTTTCATGGACAGGAGGCTCGGGGTGTGTGCTTATAGGGTGATTTCGAGGCTCTTGATGTAGTTGGGTGATCGGTTCTTGATTTGGTGCCACTAAATGATTATTAGACTCCGGTTTCCATTGGCCAGATTGAGAATTAGTCGACGATCTAACTGCCGATGGATGAGTGATCATTTTTGTCAGCCACGATGGTAGAGTGTGGTAGGCTCCTACTGGATTGGGGTCTCGCAAAGATCTGACCAGCGTTGTAGATGAATCACCCACTATGATTGGATTTGCATATGGCAAGGGTGTCGTGGTCATCTGTAGGTGTTTAATTGATTCAAATATATTATGATATTTCGGACGCCTGGCAGCTGGGGCCATGGTAGTTGTGGCCGTGGTGGTTGTAGTAGTTGGGGCTAAGGTGGTTGTCGTTGGTGGCTGAGTGGTCGTTGTCGTTGGTGGCTGAGTGGTCGTTGTGGTTGGCGGCTGAGTTGTTGTAGTCGTAGTGGTAGTGGTAGTCGTGGCAACCGTGGTTGTAGTCATTGGCTCAATATTCATGCTACCAATATTGTGAGTGGTTGGATCCGACTTGTGGGGCAATAAGCCTTCATTAGCACTACCTAATTTCATGTTTAATTGCTGTTCATGTACACTAACTCTAGATTCGGTAGCTGCGGCCTTCTGGTCTAAAATTGCTGAATGCACAGGATCAAGGAATCCCACTCGTGGATTGGCACCGGACATGATGGTAACTTCTTTAGGTGTACCAACAACATTGCTGCCAGTTTCAGATGGGCCGATAGTATGTTGATCAATAGTTAACATGGCCTGGTCGATGGAGGACGAGTCGGGTTGCTTGGGTTTAACTGGGTACTGCATTTGTATTTCCTTCAGCTCTGCAGACATCCCTGGTAAATTGCTGAAGCTCTTGCTGACGATTCGACCGTGTATATCTTGGAAGGGTCGGTAGTTGTTACTCATGAATTTGACAGTATTGGTTCTAGAACTGGCATGAGGATACATTGGACCACCATGAACATAGTCTTTAGCTGGGGTATCGCCCTGTTCACCCATCTTTAACATTCTTAAAGCTGCCATCTGAAATGGAATGAAATGGTCTTTACGGGTCTGTCCAATCGATATAAAAACTTTCTGACTCTCTTCAATAGAAAAGCAGGTAGGCAAATGTGCGTCCGTGAGGACTTTTTTAAGAATATGTCAACTCACCTGTTTTGAGGATATTTTCTGAGGAACAGCAAAAATAGTCCAAGTTACGCTTTCAAAGCAAGGCGGGGTAGTAAGACTTCCCTTGTAGCGATAAAACATTTCTGGATTCTTGGGTAATAAGTTGGAAATATGAAGATTGGTGATAGCCTCCCTTTCTCCTGAAAAGATCAATTTTACATCACTTCAATATTTTCTAAAAATGTTGTCAAGGATATCGAAATACACGGCAACCTCTTAAAGATATTTCACTCTAGATTATATTTTCAAGACAGATTAAACCCCCTCAAAATAATTTCAACGGACAATAACTTCCGGTTTCTCAGAGATGCAGTTGGTAGTGTAATGATCTATGTCTTGATTGATATGTAAGGTCAAATGACTCTGTCCTCCATTATGGAATTTTGGTCCGCCTTAGACCTTGAGCTGGCTACGGGCCAGGAAAGATGTGTAAAAATATATCACCTTCTCTGCGTATATTATGTAGTGCTGAAGTAATCGGTTCAAAATTAGGATTGTCTGTCTCCGAAATCTACAAAGATATCACGAAAAATAAACTGAAATTTTTTTCAATATGAAATATTACATAAGATAAAGGCATCTTACATCGATTCCAATTTATCGTTCCAATATTAGGTTTAAATCACTTTGAAATTCAAGTCAAATTCGAGCTGCGAACTAACTTTTTAATAACTAAATTAAAAAAATACAAAAGTATATAAAAGTTGGTATCTGATTGGGATAACCTATTGATGGAACTGGAATCAACCTAAACCCAATCTCTGAATGGCATTAGATTTCGGGGTTCAAGCTGCAGGAATTCTTGCTATGGAACCAGAATACCAAAGACACAGATATCATCTTACCTCAAACATAACTCCTAATACAGCTAGTCCATCTGGTTGAGATTTAGCATTAGTTAACGTTCCATATTTCGTATTATAATGGACTATGTGCATCTGAAAATATTAACACAATTAATAATTTATTTTTCCGCATACATGATATATACAGACGTTTATTGGCAATTAAAATTCACGAAGAAGATTCGAAATTCGAAATTAGAATGCCATTAATGCCTTAGCTAAAGACTTCAGTGTTTTAATCCGTGGTGAAGCTGGAATAGGTCAGGAATGGTAGTTTGTGTCGGAGTCAATCGTGTCCGCATCGTTACTGGAACCGTATATCTTGTATTCGCTTTTTTCTATTTTGTACTGTATCGCACCGAACACCAATCTGGTCACCGTACCTTCTCTATCTGCACCTTAAGCCCGAAGACGCAATGAAGTTCTACTTTCCACCTATATTTCCATCCTTGAACATAGCTGTAACCGGACCCCTGACAGAAAGCACTAACCCACTAACCCAATCGATCCAAATCAGACCACTTACCTCTAAAGGATAGTTTTTCATATCGATACCATGTTCCGAACCTCTAGAATCATCCGACCCCCAGTGGAAGTGAAATTCAGCAGTTTTAAATTCTCCTGGCAGCCCTCCACCCTTGCAGTACATTTCATTACTAATAGCTGCACTCGCTGTAAAGAATATATACAAAATATTACCCTGAAGGTGATTGCTTAAAATAAACTATCATATAGGTCCTTTGAAATTCAAATTGCCTCATGTCATTGATTTTTTAATCATAACAAGCTAGATCGGGGATTTTCATACTTTAAATTTTTATTACGCCTTTTCAGGATCCTTGATCGATTGCATTATTACCCCCCCCCCCCCCCCGTAAATTCTTACAATTTCTCTTAGGTTTTCACTGTAATCCTTTTCATATTATAGTCTGTTATATGACTGAATAGTACGATTAACATTATAATTGTCCTAACCTTTATGCAAGACAACAAAGCAACCCATTACCCGCCAAAAATTTCGAAATCATGGATTATCCATAATTGGCAACAGTTGATAGCAAGATTGATTTAAATCTACTGATACTCCGTATTAAAGAATGGTTCCCTTATTTTCATTTATGAAAATGAAAATGCTAATACTTGAATAGAAAGTAGAAGTGTTCTAATGATTTGCAAATATACCAGTTTGTTATAGTCCATAATTAATTCATAATTAGCTAAATTAGAAGAGAATTACCAGCAGAATTCCTATTAGTGACCGATCAAGAAAGATCAAAAAGCATTTTTATTTTTGTTTATCCAGACATGGACATTTATGATTGGTTAAAACTCCTTATTATATGCATTAAGAACATCATTATAAACACCAATAAATCAAATAGTTTTCTTAATTTGACACTAAAAAATAAGATAACTCATCTTTAAAATTAAATATAGACCTATGTGATATAAATTTACCTGAGTGCCCATTATTGGTAATATTAAATACATGAGAATTTGAGGAAACATCGAACTGGGAAAAATCAAACGCTCCCATATCAGGATCATAGCTGACTGATTTTGTATCTATGTTGATGGGAGATTGTTGCATTCCTCCACAGTGTTCATATTGCTGCGGCCATGAATCTGGCCCTGAAAAGATATGTTACAAATTGATATAAAGCGTGTAGGGGGGCTAGTGTACCCGGGCACTGGCTATCGGCAAACATGTCAGAAAATGGTTAAAAGCGTAAAATGGTTTGATTTCGACTACCCAATGGCGAAGTTACAACTACGATGGTCACAGATTTCGAACGTTTAAATCGACGACCAGATCCATTTTGTTGTTAGAAAGAAGACCATCAGCAACTGATGACAATCGCAATGTTTATATCTTTGGTGCGCGGCGTTCGACTAAATCCAGCATTTGATCAAATGTTGCCAGTTACTAGCAGTCGTTAAAAATTCTGTTGCGTCCAAATTTAGCCAGTTGCAGGAACGACCTGAGTCTCCTTTGGTAGTTCACTTACAAAAAGAAAACCACAAAGAATAGAATCTGAGGTTATTGTCCATTCATTCATTACCTGTAGTCACTCAATAATCATTACATGTCATATGCTTCTTAAATTTTAAACTTTAATTGATTATTTGTCAGTGATTATGATAAATAGGTTTCTAGCTAAAAATATATTCAAAAACCTTGAGAAATAAAATGGCTACTCAGTCACACTTGCATCATAAATCTAAACAAACAGAATAGTGTCGCTTTGTCTGTTTTCAAATTTATGACGAAATAAACCTATTTAAGTAACTCAAACTTTCAACGGGAATTTAGAGTATGTTTTTCCAGACTAAATTGCCCTCTGGTGACGAAATTTGATTTTCTATGTCGTCAGCATGTCGCAACTTCAAGGTATGTTTGAAGCATGTAGTTTTTACAGGTCGAACAGCTGAATAAAAATCTAGACAAAAGTGAGTCACCATTATTGTATTTGACCCAGCTGTAAATAAATAGGTAAGGATAAACCAGGACAGATCAATACGAAGAGGTTTGGACAAGGACCAGCTGGTTGGAATGATCCTTGATATTGTTTAGCTTGTAAGAAAAAGATTGACTATTTTTTTAATCCTAGACCACAAGTAAGAAAAGTTTATAATAGCCATGTTTCCTTGGACTTTCCAATATCCCTCATAAAGTGTTCAATAGTATGGCCTAAAACTCCATTATCTTTACTATCTAAAACAATTATTCTAATTTCATTTCGATGACCCATAGGACTAGAAGCACCTACATGCGGTATGACGTAAAACTTCATTTTAATTAACAATATATTGTTTATTTCATTGAACACTGTTCAAAGTATACAAGCATATGTGCTCCCCCCCTCCCTCGCTGCCCCGAAGGCATGCATATGACTTAGAGCACCCACCCGCGTAAAACAGTATGGCATAAAACAGTATGGCGTAAAACTTCATTATCTAACAACATCTTGCTCGCCGTTCATTGACAATATAATAGCTGACTGTAGTAAATATAGTTATATATCCTGTTAAATTTAGATATTAACCTGTCACCAAGGCTTCATAAAGTCTGATTCAAAAATAACTATTTATATTTTCGTCTGACAGAAGTATGTTGAAGTGTATTTTTAGTTCTTTCATACCAGTTGCGACCTTCAATGGTGTTAAGATTAATACAGCAATCTTCCATTGATTCATTGACAGTTTAGGATCTAAATAGAGTTGTCTAAGACCACTGTTCTGGCGAAATTTCCCTCGTTACCCACTGTATGACGTTATCAATTTCCATACGCTCCATCAGCTCAATCAGGACCCCTTTTCTCAAAATCAGACGATTTATCTTGCAAGTTCAGGGAAAAACGTTTAACCTTCACTTAAATTTCAAAGAGGTACGGATGTACATCAATGGTTTTCAATCAAAAAATTAAGACGGAAAGATGATATTATATTATTATACCGTTAAATGGTAAGGGCTAATAAACGATGGAATCGTGTAAACTGTTACTTGAAGCAGCACGATTATCATGACTTGCTTCCGAACATCGTGAGGTCAATTTTAAACAACAACTTGTGAAAAAATGAAAATTTACTTAAACGAGTTGACATGCTGGGCTCTGTTAATTTACCATACTACTAACAAAGATGTAGTATAAGGTTTTTGTTTGGAGTTTGGGGTTATTGTTTTAGATACCATGGACTGATAGTCTGCTTTCGATCCTACTACAGTAGTAATAAAGCAATGAGAAGAGTTAAATAATACATACCACTATTTCCTTCGTAACTCCAATGAGCAGTTTTGTGGGAGGGACCTGAAATACATAAATATATTGTTAATTATTGTGTGATAAAATAGGTTCAAAGCCTACATCGAGTCGTACTGTTGCTCTTAGCCTTGAATTTGTCACCTTAAAGCTACATGGTCAATATATTCCACCGAGGTTACTCTTCTAGTAATTGATGTGTTCAACAAATCGTGTGGACAAGGAAGAGACATAAAGTTACAAGACCTAATAAATAACAGAATGTAAACCATGTTAGGTGTCAGAAATGACCTCATAGCAATCTTGTTAAAATTGTGTAACACGTTTGTTTTCTAAAATATTTGATATAAGTGTAGTGCACTATATGGTTACAAGACAGTACTCATTTTTGGATTCATGTATTATCATGGATATTGTGACTAAACTATTGAAAGGGACAAGTTTGCCATTTGTTTGACCGATTGTAACTTTGTTCCAGAGACGGGAACTTGAGCCTTAAAATCCATGTGTGTCCAGAATTCAAAGTTAAAAAGACGACTCATCTTTTCCCTAGACTATCCCATTTATAGAAAAGGCACAGTACAAGTACTTCTGAAGACTATATACATATATTCAAGACCCATATCAATCACCGAAAATGGCGAATCTGTCTTGTAGAACGTAGCTAATTGTTTTAACCCGAAATTGGTCATGAATCATATCATCTATATATTTGGTAACTGTATAGTGTAGCGTTATCTTTTTGGTCAATTGCTATTGTGCTGTGATTAAATAAAGTAATTAAGTGTTCTTGAAAGGTTCGTATCACCATCGCTCCAAACATTAATCAAAATCTTTTTCAAACGATTGGTCAGTTACGTTACTCGTACACAGTATAATCAGCCAGAGAGGCTTTACATGATGTCATTGCTTGGTCGAATTATTGTTTCAACGACGAAGGGAGCCACCCACGTTATTCGGTTTTGTCGAATTGCTTATCAATCAAATGCGAGACAGTACCATAGCTCCAACACAAACAAATACCGATCATTTATTAGTCATTTTATTTTCATAAACTTGTTGACTTTTACCTACATGTAGTGCCCCACAAAAGATAAAAGGCAATAACCTACAGTGAAGTCGATAGTTTATCAGTTGTACTGTCGTCTAGAAGGTGTCGAATATCAGCCATATCAGTCCGGACACTTAACCAAAATTAATTGATTATGTCAAACTAGGATTTACTTATGTCTATAATTAAAAGAAGATTTCTTAAAATAGGCGTAGGAGGTCAGAATTATGAAACAAGATGAGAGACGTATTGTGGTAGATTTATGAATAGAAAGATTATTTCGTCCAAAGGTCTTCCGGTTCATCACTAAAAAGATCTATTGATATATTCATTATACACCATGTGAGTGGATACTGCTCTTGTACATTCCCCCGAAACTTGATGATACTTTGAGATATCATAGACACCAAGTGATTGCGGTGGAGATGTCCCAAAAGCCTTAGTTTCGGTGAAATTTCAAAGCACAGAAATAAGAATAATAGTGCAATTCGATGCGAGCAGTGTCCCCGATACACATACAAATTTAGAAAACCTCCTTACAATCTCTTTACCAAATTATTCTTATCATATATAGGTACTTAGTGTAAATAATAATGATAACACGCCGTAAATAAAGACATCTATCAACCACCTCCCCACCGACTGTCAGCTTTCATTTGTCAGATTTCAATTACTAGTATATCTCTTGGTCATACTGTCATTCTATCATAGTTTATTGTTTCCGGCGTTTCTAAATTGAATTATCACTCACATTCTTACTTTATGAAGACGTTTCAAAATCAAATTAAGATTCATACGGATGACTTGACCTTAATCGATGTTTCCGGCGTTTGTAAATTACATGAATTACCACATATAATTGTTTACTATGGGCTCGTTTTCCTCATCAAATTGAAACTTCTTATCGATTTTTAACCGGTGATTAATTTTTTAAAGCTTGCTATCCATATCTTATTATAAGAAGCTATTTCTATACATTCTTTGACGTGGGCTCGTTTTCAATATCAAACTAGAAATTGATCCTTGGATGTACGGATGTCTTGAAACGATTTCGGTTCAAGTTTTAAACTCATTCAATATATCCAATTCCCAAATAGATCGAAAGAGGGTACCAAAGGATTTTAGAATACGGCTTTACTTGTGACTGTTGGAGGTGGAAGAAGGACATGGAGGTGCTATGTACCTCAACCCGCCATCAATAGTTAGTTAATATGAATGTCGCTGTCCTTGCAGAATTGGTTCTCAGCCCACATTGCGTGGCGTTCAGTGCATTCCATACATGGAATTGTTGGTTTTTGAATGGTGCAGAACACGTATTCACATTACCTTGCTTGATTGAACGCTGATGCATCATAAAATATTAATTTACTTGATTTCAAAAGGTGCAGAGCGGTAAAAAATCTACCCTGTCATGGAATAGCTAGAAACGACACGAATGGAGTTTTACGTCCTACTTTTCTGCAATGTAATAGCCAGAAACAGACAGGTTGTTTGACTGTCATCATTAACATCACTATTAGCGACTCTATGTCACCAGTTTAACATCAAACACGCGTTCTAGATCAATCACCTGTCAATCAGGATATTGAAATCGGAGACATGACTATGTTATCTGTAATGGTACAGAACATGTAGACATGCTTACAAACATGGTATATCTTGTTCGTCTATATAATCCATTATGTCGCTGAATTAACTTTTTTGTGATCCTGTGCATTGTCCTTCACAAATTTTATCTTTTTGTTGTTGAGTATTTCAGAATAAATGAAAAAGGAAAGTCAAATATTAAAACAATGCACTTCGCTAAGCTCTGTAAATACCCGA